CCGCCGGGCCGACACACGAAGCCAGGCCCAGGTACGGTCCCTGCGCAGCAGGCGCAGCACTGCTGTCCCTGCCGCTGTTCCGGTCCCCAGCGCTGCGGGCAAGGGCCTACGTTAGCCTGCGGTGGGGCACGGAGCGGTAGACTGCCCCGATGGGGCCCATAGTCAGGCTGCTGCACTGGCCCCAGCGGGACAGAAGCCACAAGTAGTGGATTCAAGTCTGTACCAGCCCTGCCTTCCCAAAAAACTGGGGCCCAGGTGGGCTTGTCCCGCCTCTGCTCTGTGGCAAAGGAGGGTGCCCTTATTCCCAAGCTTGGAAAGTGCCTGTGACCTTATAGACCGTGTATGGGGTGTGTGACCAATTCTCTGTCTTTCTGGGAGCAGGGAGGTGCAGCAGGCAGGACTGAATTCACTTTGTTTCTGTTGTCCTGGACAGCCAAACTGCAGGCCTAGCCAGGCCAAAACAGGCACGTTCCCAGGGCTGATACTCACCCACAGCCCTGTGTTGGGCAGCCGCTATGTCAGTGTCCTCAGGGTGCAGGAGGCTGTACCATGACTGACCGATCAGTTCGTCCCTGTGGTACCCAAGCTGGTAGGTGACACTGGGGAACAAAGGGGAGTGGGGACTGAGTGCTTTGCTGGGTCAGCACCATGTCAGCAAGGAGCAGCTGTGTATGGTGGAAGAGAAAACAAAACAACAGGGGTCCAGGAATGAGTAGCAAATAAGGGAGGGAGGAGGCTGGGAAGTGCCTGGGAGAGGCTCGCTGCTCGCCCGCAGGCTTGGTGAAGCGAAATGATCCTTGTTGTCTGAGATGCAAGCAGGCACCCCTCACCTCTCGGTGACATCAATAAATGTCATGTCTAGGATGTGTGTGCTCTGGAATAGGTCATCCTGGGAACTGGCATCGCCTTCTCCAGGCAGCTGTGTGACCGGTGTGCAGAGGGCCAGGAAGGCTGTGGTGGAGGGGGAGGTCGGCCAGCGCAGGGCCATGAAGCGCCCGTGCACTGCCACAGCCCGATTTCCCCCGTGCTGCAGCCGGAAGGCCTTGGACGTGCGCATCTCACTGACAAACGTGACTTCTGCAGGGAAACAAACCAGATGGAGCAGGCTGGGGGCTCCCTGGCTCTGCTCCCAGCAGGGCTGGCTGGCTGGCCCTGGCTGTCTGATGGCACTGGCTGTCTGTTGGCAGCCACAAAGGGCCAGAGCAGGGCAGCAGCATCTGAGGTACCAGCCGAGGCCTCCCTTACCCCTGCTGGGCTCCTCCTGGGCGAGGAGGAGCTTCTTGCGCACCTCCTCATGCGCTCGCTCATCTAGGATGTCAAAGACCGTGTCCCCCTGGGCGAGCAGCTCCACCTGAGAAAGAAGGGGCTGCTGTCATGGGCTGTGCCTGCCCCGGTGGGCTCCAGCAGCCTGCTGGAGCCACAAGCCAGCTGCTGCTGGGGCAGCATGCCATGCATGTGATGAAGGCAGCAGGACAGGTTTGGGGACAGTGACCGCAAGCGCCCGGTGGCAGTCCTTACCATGGAGAGGCCCAGGACCTGAGCCACGTTCTCGGAGATGTAGACCAGCTTGCCGTCGGCTGAGAGCACGAGCAGGAAGCCCGGCAGCAGGGAGAGCAGCTCCGTGCCGAGGGCTGGTCCTGCAGGAGGGGCCAAGTCTGCAGGGGGAGCGCAGGGTGAAGCACCATCTTGGGGTGGGAGCAGTGCCCCATGCAAAGCCAAGCTGGCATGGGGTGCAGTAGTGCCATGGGTACCTGGGGGGAACAGCTGAGCCCCCCGCAGCCGGAGGCACACCAGGGCCATGGTGTGGAGGTAGGAGAGCCGCTCCTTCTCACGCGCAGAGATGGGCAGCAGGGAGCGCAGCGCCTGCAGCTCCACGTTGATCTGGTCCCGGCGGGCCTTGGAGGCACTCTTGGTTGACCTGCAAAGCCAGCTGGCTGGGGGAACGTGTCCAGGGAGGTAGAAGGACAGCATTCCCCACCTGCCTTTATAGGGAGACCTGCAAGCTCGGGGACACAGGGTGGAGATGTGCCCTTAGGCTCAGCACCTACGTCAGCTGCCTCTAGGAGGACAAACCTTTGGTGGCAGTTTTGGTGCAGTGGATGCACGCAGAGGTGCTCACGGCTACCCAGGGGAACATGCTGCTGGCGTGGCTGGAGCCCCTCTTGCTGGGGGCCAGCTTGGACAATGACCTGTGCTTTGTGGGGGGACCCAAGTGACACGACCTCCCCACCAAACCCTGCAAGGATAGAAACTGCATCCAGTGCCAGAACATGAGCCCCAGCCCACTGCATCTGCCCTTGCTCTTCCACCACCTGAAATCCCTCTGCCCCTCCAAGCTCCTGCATCTCCTCTTCCCCACACACCAGCTGGCAGCCCCGCTCTCCCAAACTGGTGCTGGCCCCTTGCAAGGGCCGTCGGGCCCGGGAGGGAGCTCACCTGAATGGCTTCGAGGTGCTGGGTGCCTGCTTGCCCCTCCTGGGCTGGCAGCTCTGCTCTGCCTGCAGCGGCCTGTGGCAGTGTGTGCAGAAGATGGTCATGGTGCTGGGATAGCCAAACCTGGCGGCGTGCCGCTGCTGCCTCCGCCTCTGCCTGCATCTGAACCTGCTGACCCCCGCTGCTCCCGGCCTCCTTTTGTACCCTCCTGGGGCGCAGGGGCCAAGCCGCGCACACGGAGAGAGTTACTTCTCCTGACGCAACTCCAAACAGCTCGGGGCTATTTTTAGAAGGCAGGCTGCTAAAAATAGCCCGTGCAGCCGGCTGCAATCTGAGAAGGGAAGCAATAAAAGGAAGCTGGGGTCTTTAAAGCAAACCTGGCTGCTCAGGAGGGGGTGATGATGAAGGTAGCCGGGATCCCCCCGTGAGGCACACATCCGCCCAGCTCCCGACCCACAGTTGCCGGCCCAGCAGAAGGTCCGTGATGGGCTAATGGCCTGTGGTTAAGCCTGCCTGCCCAGTGGCTGCTCTCCAGCATCACCAAGGAGTGAGCTGGGTGCTGGGAGAAGGAGCTGATATGTCAAGAAAATGCACTGGAGACATCCAGACCAATGTGGTAAGCAGAGCCCCATCCCCAGGTCCTGGCAGAGGGAGATCAGGGCCACAGCACCTGTGAATCTGAGGGGACCCTTGAAGGCGAGTGGGGTGCCTGTGAGCCTCTTCCTGGTAAGCCCTTTCTTTTCTTCCCAGAGAAGTCGTCTCCCCACCAAAGGTTTGCTCTCCTAGAGGCAGCTGGCATGGGCTGCTGAGCCTTTCTAGAGGCTGTCTCCACTTAATGTCCCAGAGCTGCTAATTCTCCTCTGGGGAGCTCTAGTGACATTCATGGACAGAGCCAGAGCACCTTGGGGGAACCTCTGTGCTCAGCACCACGCTGCCCAGCACAGTGAGCCTGGGTGCTCTGTGGATGTTTCCTGGTGCCTGGCACCCCACAAAGAGAATAAGCCTGGTGCTTCAGTGCTGGAGAAGAGGATACCATGGCAAAAAACTGCCACCATTTCATGGCACAGCTTGAGAGAGTGCCTGTGCCTGGGGCTGCTGGAGCTGCTGGACAACACATGGGAGATGCCCACCCAGCCCTCACAGGTAACTTGCAGGTGCCAAGGGCCACAAAGGGGGAGCCCAGGCTGGGGGTACTCTCCCTGAGCCAGATGTCCTGTCAGCACACCCTGGCTCCCTTCAGCCCCCAGCACTGCCATTGATGCTCACCACCCACGACAGCGAGGTGCTGACAGTCTGTGAAGAACAAGCTCTTGTCACAACTGTGGTGCCTTCTGTTCCCTTGCCATGGCATTTTCACTGCTCTTGTGCTACTCCAGGCTGCTCCGTTGCACCCACATTGGCCACCTCTCTCAGGCTGAGTAGCCCAGGGACCTATACCACCCCGTGCTGCTCGATGAGCAGTACTTGACCCTGACTACATGCTCAGGGTATACCTCGGGGCAGGGGAGATGGCCTGTGCCCTCTGCCACCCGTTCCCAACAAGCAGCCACCACCCTCAGCTGTCCTGTGACTCTGGCGACCTAGGGTACACCCTGAGCACAACCCTAGCTTTCCCTGCATTAGCCTCACCGCAGTTGCCACTGGAGCTCCTCTTCATGTCAGACATCTCACACCACGGGAAGGGGCTCAGGCACAGCCCTCTGTGCCACCCAGGAAGGCTGCCCCAGACATCCCTCCACCTCCCTCCCAGAGCAGAGAGCTCTGGGGCACCTGCACGATAGCCTTGCCGCTGCACTCACCTTCCTGAGACATCACAGACCAGGAGTCAAGCACTGTCTTCCTCCTGGCCCTCTTGCAGGGCAGTACAGCCCCAGGCAGGAGGCAGGCACACCAGGGCAACACTGCTGTGAGGGGCCTACCTCCTCTTCTCCCACCCCAGCCAGGGCTGCAGCTCATACCAGCCCACAGCTGCCACAAGCCACTGGTGGCTTGAAGCTTTATTGAAAAGCACCTTGTTCGGTCTCTCCCTTCCCACGCCTTCTTTCCCCCTAGTTCACCTGCTAGGACACACAAAGCAGCAGAAATCATGTCTGCCTCAGCATTTATAAAACTTCCCCCAGTTGCTGTTTTACAACAGAAGCTGGGCAGAGGGTCCTGCTGGGCCCAGACCCCCAACATCGGGCTCAGCTTGAGGCTGGGACCTGCCATCTGGTGCCAGGAAGCTGGTCAGCACTGGCAGGTGCAGGCGTGAAGTCTCGAAGCAGGACAGGAACAGTTCATAGCCCAAGGCCAACCCCAGGGCCATGGCTGGTGGTAGGAGTTGATTCAGGCCCTTGGAAAGTGTGGCTGGGGACCAGGCCAGCACAACTGCAGCTCCACAGGCAAGGGGAAGGAAGGCAGGAGACGGTGGAGCCATCGGCAGGGAGGGAGGTTCACAGTTGTGCTGCTGAGATGAGCCAATTTCTTTCCCGGCAGCCTGCTCTGCCTGCACACTTGTACTGCCCAAAGTGTGACACAGGCAGAGAGAGGCCTGGCTGAGGCAAGACAAACTGAGCTCATGTGGTTCCTTTCTTGAAAGGGTAAAAACTCATGCAGACAGTGGAGCAAGAGGTCAGTATGTGGAGGGGCGAGGGCAGGGTGGTAGAGGGATGAGCTGGTGTCAGCCCTGGGAGGAGACGATGGGGCGGCTGATGGTGCTGTTTGTTGTCATGGCCGAGAGCTCCCATCTGTAACACACCAAGAGGATACACTGAGAGGAAGCGCAAACACGGTGCCCAGGGCTGGAGCAGCTCCACTGCACATCAGCCCCAGCTGTAGTCTCCAGCCCAGTCTGCCCCAAAGCTGGTAGCTTTTAGCCAGGACAGGGAGCACCCATGGGGTGACCTCCCAGGAAGGCACACAGTACCTGATGTCGTGGGGAAGGCAGGACTGGTCCAGGCTGTACTGAATCACAGCCAGCTTACACAGCGTCTTTAGACTGGGACCTGTGGAAAGAGGGCAGTTAGCCACAGCAGTCCTTGCCTGGACACTATGGAGGGCGCAGGCATCGTGCAGTCAGTGCCACAGAAAATGGGGCACAGCACCCTGGCCATCCCTCTGAGGGCCAGACTGAAGCAGTTTTCTGTGCTCCCACAAGAAGTCTGTGTGAAGGAATGCAAGAAGAGCCATGAGCCCAGCTCAGGCCTGCAAGCACAGCTGCATCTCTGGCTGGTCTGCTTTAAGCCATGTGCACCAGTTAAGAGACAGCTGCCCAGCTCAGAGAGGCAGGCATCTGGAGCCACACAGGATGCAGTATGGCCCTTCACAGCAGGGCCTGCTCACAGGGCGCTTTGTGGTGAGAGGGACAAGCTGGGCAGAGAGTGCTCACGTACTGAAGTCGAGGATGTAGAGGTCAGAGTGATCCATCAGGTCAAATTCATCACCCATTCCCTCCTCTGGAGACGGGCTGCAGAAGCCAAGCAAAGTGTCAGTCAGTGCCAAAATGCTTGTACACCAGTTATGGTCCCTTGAGCTCCCCAAGGGCCGAGCAAGTCCAGGACTGTTCCTAAGCTGCCTGCCCCATGCAGGAGCCCTCTGCCTCCCTCCAGCTGCACCCAAAGCCATCACTCTTCCAGTTTCTTGCAGAGTAGGTAGAGCTGCACAGAGCCAGAGGGCAAAAACACACCCCATCTTCTTTGCAAGCCATAGCAGGGAATGAGGGAGCTGCCTCCTTCACATGTACAACCTACATGACTCCAGCTGCAAGCCTCCCCCTCACTTCACCTGCTTCTGTTAACTTGTCTGCACCTCCAAACACAGGTCTCATTCTGCAGAGAAGTTCAGCTTTTTCTACAGAAGATGAAAGGCAGCAGTAGAGAAAAAGCACCTGAAGCAGGTGCTGAGGTCTACAGCTGGCTTAGTGGCTGTTCTTTCCCTCTGTCCACAATAGCTGTATGTATCTGCTGCATTAGCACAAATTCTCCAGCAAGAGCCCACAGGTTAGCAACCTGCAGCCAGGAAAACATCCTATTTTATAAGCTTGCATTCCTCTGACCAGGCCAGTAGCTGGGCTGCTTTTGGGGTTTGCTGCATGAGCTGAAACTGCGTGCCAAGCACGGACTCTGCCCAGCCACACACTGTTCATCACTCCAGCTCTCACATGGTTAAGATCTACTGCAGATTTTTCAGCATGGCCATTGAGATGTTGTAAGAGAAGTGTAGAGAAAACAACTGGGAAACATCTGCATGGCAGGACAAGCACAGGCATTTCTCAGTCTGACTCAGAAATCACTCTGGGCTCCAGCCACAGCTCCCTGGTTGTGCCAAAATGGGGACAGCATTTCAGAAGACTGTAACTGAGCACGTGTCAGGCACTGATAAGTGCAGCAGTCATTTTAAACCAATCTTAATTTGCTGATACTTCTAGCTGATGTGCTGGTCCTGGAACGCTAGTGAAGAGCTATGATTTCAGGCATTTCTAGGAAACAGCCAGCCTCACCTATGGCTTCCTGCCTCTGTGGTCTTGATGGAACAGCCAAAGCACCTGAGAGACAGGTCATCCCCTAGCATCCCTTAGCACAGCCTGTGCTGGAACAGTAGTGCTTGGACCAGGGGAAAGCACTCCCACGGCTGATGGTTGTTTGGAGAACTTGAAAGAAAGGAAAGGTGTTTTAAGTCATGCTTTGGTTTGTTACATGGCAGTTTAGCATGTCCTTACTGCTTAGCTGAGACCCCAGTGTCACTTGCTTCCCCTCCTATGACCCACTATGCTTCACATCTCATGGGACATGAGACAGTGCCTGTCCTCCTATCCCCAGGTTCCCCATAACTCCAGCACAAACTGTGGGGGACAGTGCACTGCTGGCAGAGAAGATCTGTTGCTGATGGGTCCCATCTGCCCGGATACAGGCAAGAGCCCCTTTAATTCCACCCGTGTGCTCACTGCACCACAATCTAATCTCACATCCACGTCACAGGAAACCCTAGACCATCCCTTATCTTTCAAAGGAAAGCCAGCAGGCACAACGTCTGTTGTTTTAAACACCAAGCTGCAAGCAGCTAGGGAAAGCCTGGAGTTCAAGGCCAGGAGAGCCACAACTCCCAGACAGCACAGTGCAGGGAATCTCTTTGCCAGCCAGAGCAGCAAAACTGCTTATTCAACTCACATGTTGGTGAATGCTCCTGGGTCCTGCACCAAGCAAGCAGTGAGTGCCCCCACTCCCTCACCAGAGCCAGGCATTTCTAAGCCCTGCCAGGGAAAACAGTCTCAGGCCAAAGCTGCTGGATCAGCATCTGTTCAGCTAAACTCTCTTTTGTAGCACTCCCTCTTCCCGTTGTACTCCCTTGTGGATGGTCTCTGCATGCTGAAGTGCTGGTGGGTTTGGGAGGAAACCAGATGAGGGCCACAACTGTGACACAGCAAATGGGAACACAAGGCTTAGTGCTACACTACTTCCTGGTCACTTAAATGGGACAAGTGACAGGATTGCTGCTGGCCAGTGAGAGACCACAGCTGGGGCAAAAAGACCATGCTTTGGGCAGGACTACAACAGAAAAGCATTTGGATGCCATAGGAGCAGGCACCCTGCAGAAGTGCCTCTTAAACAGTCTACAGTGTACATGAATCCCATAAGGGAGGGCAGGACACAAAGGAGTTTGCCTGCCTGTCCCCCTTTGCTGCTGCCCAGCAAGCTGAGCCTGCTGGCTCATCCCCCAGGGAGGCCTGCTGGATCCCCCGCGCTGTGCGCTCCCCCTCCCAGGGCAGGGGAGCACAAGTCAGAAAGGCAGACCACAGGGAGTTCTCAGTTACAACGACTTCCTGGAAAACTTCTTATCTCGCCAGGCAGCTCCAGAATACACCTGATAACTGTTACAGGAAGCAAACACAGTCCCCACCCCCATCTCCCTCTTCCCCAGTCTGCAAGACCCTCCCTCCAGTCCAAACAGGCTGCATTCCTGGCTGCCAGCAGCTCCTCCTATCCCAAGCTAGTGCTGATGAACTGGCCTGCACTGGGGTTGAGCTTAGATTAAGGAACAAGTTGAATACTGAAGTTGTTCTATGGAGAAGACAAAACGCTGCTGCATTGCCTGGCAGAGGTGGACCAAACTCCAGAAAGCTAGTGTCAAATTTGTTGTGGTTTGCCAGCGTTTCCTAGGAGTGCCAAGTTTAACATCAGAGTTCAGCTGCTGCTGAACACAAATCCACACTGCAGCATCTGAGAGCATCCAAAACTGCCATCAAGCCCTACCAAGCCTCCTAACGTACAGAGCAGCACCAGCATCTGTTGAGGACACTGGATAAACTCGGCACCACCGTATACCTCACCTACACTAAGCACTCCCCTACACCCACACAAACATCCTACAACTAAGCACATATTCCTAGCACTCCTGGGGCCTGAAGGCCCTTCACTCCATCACACACTGGTATGGTCAGCTCACCAGCAGAACCTGCCCTGTCTTGTCCTCTGCCCCAACCTGTCTGTCTGTCTTCAGAAGTATCCCCAAAAAGCCACTGCCAAGGTCCCAGAGAAAGCCCCAAAGCTTTTCAAACCATGTGGAGGGCTGAAAGCATTTCAGATGTCTCTGCAAGGTAGATGCTAGCAAACAGACCTGTGCTTCAGAGCTGCAATTTGTTATTCCAGACAGCATAGAGTGTGTTGTGGCGATGGGCCACTTCCTTTCTTTTAGCAGCTGTTAAGGCTCTTGGCCACATCCAGCTGCCCTGCACCCTGACAGTATCACTTCCAGTGTTTGACAGCTAAATCCTTCACACCAGGTCCCTTTTGTGCATGGAAACTTTGCTAAGGAACACTGGCACAGAAGGGGATGTTGTCTTGTCGTGTGTATGTGCTCCTTAAACAACTCCCAGCTGAGCTGACATCCCACTGCAGCTTGGCACGCATTGCACTGGTCAATGAAAGAAAGAAACTCTGGCAGGAGAAGCAGGGCAGCATGTAGGGGGGGATAAGTCAGTCTGAGGTCTGCTACAGCACAGCAGACCAGGATACTTGTCCTTCTGATGGCAGGATCTCCTCCCTCCTCCCCACCACCTCTTTCACAGAAAGCCTGACCATTGCACAACCCCTGCCGAACAGCATGTTAACTTGTACAAGAAGGCTTGTCAGCAGGTGCTTTAGAAGCCTGCATGACATCTTCAATCTCCCCCTTGGACTTTCTCCAGAGGAGCCCAGATCTACTTGACTTCTTACACTTGGAAGGTAGATGGACAGTTACTATGTGCCTCTAAATTGCATCTGACTACATCTGCATGTAGCAGAGCATGGAGGGACACCGTGCTAAAGGGAACGGCAAACCGTCTCACAGAGCCACCCCACACAACTCACCTGGTGCCTCCAAAGAGAATGATTTTGTCTCCCACTCTGCAGCAGCATTGCCGGCGTCGAGGACATGGGCCTTTTCCCTTGGGCTCAATCTTCCTCCAAGAAAGAGAAACTAAGGGGCAGAAAAGAGTGCACCAGCTTGTCACAAGAGCCTGGCTAAGACCCGGCTATGGATTTAAACAGATCACAGCAAAACTAGTGGCCCACTGTCCCACAGACACCAACCAGCCAACACCCACCCTTCCCCGTCAACCTCCTCGCTAGCAGCAAAATGGTGCACTTCTATGAGGTTGTTATTGAAATGTCACTTGGATGCCAGGTACAGCTCTGCCTGCTGAGACAGGACCTGCAGGTCAGGGCCTTTTGTTTGGAAAGCCTGGACCCTCGGTCTACCACGGCAGCAAGCAGGCAGCCTCCCTTCCCCAGCACCCTGCTGCGGTCCAGATCTGGAAAGAGACCCAGGAACCAGCTCCATCTGCTGGCAGTCACTGTGAATGCAGAGCATCCTCGCAGAGCGAAGACTGCTGTGACAGCCTAGTTTTGGGAGGGGAGCACGAAGAACTGAATCAGGTGGAGAAGACAACAGCTTTTGTCTTTGCTGCTCTCTGTGGTAAGGACTCCGCGGGGAGGGGGCGATTAATTACTAATGCACAGCGCTGAAACCTCCAGGAACTCTCACACTAGCTCCCAGATCAGCCTGAGGAACAGGAAGTTGTCTGCTCTCAGGTAACTTTACTATGCAGAGCAATTAGCAAGCAAAATCAGTCTGATGGACTACAAAAAGGACCTGAGGACCCCAGAAGAGCTCACACTTAGCTGATATTCAGGGTACCAGATGAAGAGTCATCCCTTCTGCTGCAGAGTTTGATCTGGTACCAAGAGGGTGTGGTATAGTGATCCTGCAACTCAAGTTGAGTTATTTCCCCAGCTACGGTCTCTCGCTTCTCTAGCCCCATTGCTTCCCCATATTTTATTTTCTGCCAACACATCTGCATATTTAAGAATAAGGCAAAGTTTTGCCAACCACCTTTTGATTAGCTGTATCTTTCAGCAATACTTGCTTTTTCACTTTCTAACTGAGATCTGGAGACAGTCTGAAGAACAGAGGTCCCAAGCACAGTAGCAAGTTCCTGTCAATGCTAGCAGAAGAGCCATTTTCCCCCAAGCAGGCTCCTAGCCCTTGGAGAGTGCGGTCATCTGAGTGCTCACACACTTGAGGGCCTTGAGCATTATCACTGCAACAAGTTCAAAGCATAAATACCTGGATTGAATTTCCACAGATCATGGAAGTGTCTGTTCAGGCGTGCGTTGTAGCCACCAAATACGTACAGCTCCCCATTGTAGCTGACTGTAGGGAGTAAGCATAGACATCAGTGTGCCACCCAAGACAGAGCCCAGCAGGTCCCTGTCCCAGCATCAAACAAAGAAAAGCAGCACCGGTTATCCACCTTCATATGCAGTGCTATGTGCAAGGCTTTTCAGTGGGCAGCAGCTTCTCACAGCAGCCAGGCTCTGTGCACCCCTTGCTAACCCACCTCTCCACCCAGCAGACCAGCCACCCCTTCTGAGGCAGGCAGGGATTTCCTTGTCCTGTCCTGCTGTCTCAGCAGACCCACACTCACATGCTGAATGGCTCCGCCGGCCTTCAGGGAGCACTGGAGTTTGAGGGGAGTCCAGCCAGGAGTTTGTTTCTGTATCAAATACTTCAATGCGGTTACAGTAGATCTCATTGTTGGAGTGAAATGGCCCAAAACGATCAGCTCTGCCACCAAATACGTACATCTTTGTTCCAATGATGGTAGCTGAATGGAAGTCTCTCCAGCGAGCCGGTGTACCCTGCAGAGACGGAGTAAAACAGAACAAGAGAAAGAATGCAGGTTACCCAGGGAGATTACACATCTTGATGAAGAAGTTGGGATGGCTGCCTGCTGCTGGAGAACTTCCCCTCCTGCAGATCCCAGCCACACCGGACAGAACCTGCGAGACAATTGTGGGCAGCTACCCCAGAGAATAGCAGATATGAGACTTCCTCCGCAAACCAGAGTGAAAAGCAGACACTGACCTTGGCAGAGATTAAGGTCCACGTCATGTTTGTGGTGTCCAATTTATGGATATCATTTGAAAAGCAGTCAGCCTGGAAGACAGCAGGGCAGCCTGGTCACAAAGGGACTTGGGAAGCCTGGTCACATCTGGCCCTAGAAAGGATGCTGTACTGCAGACCTGGAGCATCCCTTTGGAATCAGCACTTCCTAAGAGACAATGGCGCTTGCTCCAAAATGTCAGGGTAGGCAGCACACCTATTACTTAACAACAGGGAGGCAAAGCTCATCCCTCCTCAAAGGTGTCCTGTTTCTCCCTTCAGCTTACCATTTATTTGGTGCTCAGTTCCTCCCCCCAGGGCTGTCCTGCACACAGCACCTACATTCATAGCAGAACCTTGCCACCTTTCCATGCAGCAACAGAAGAAGGGGGCTCTAATGGGACAGTCAAACTGTCTCTGCCAAGGCCACCTGATGAGAGGTAGAAACTAAGATTACTTCTAAGAAGCTAAATATCCAGGATCAAAAAACACTTGGGGCTCTGAGGATCCCACGAGACTTGACTGCAGCTGGCTGCCTGGGAGAGCCTGCATTCACACAACCAGCACAGACTCCTGCTCCTCCAGGCAGCAGAGATAGCGTGGAGATAACCACAGGTTTGTTTGGTCTTGGTTAAAAACAAGCTGCATTTGAACAGCTCCTGCAATCAAGATCATAGATATGGCACGATATTGTGCTCAGAAGAGTGGGACTGACCCAGGAATGGCCATAACAGAGCCTCAGCTTTCTTCCAATTAAACAGATGTGCCTCTGCACCGCTTTTCTGGAGCCTGGTGATAGGCCAAAATGGTATTTACCCACTTCTTAAGATCAGAGCACAGGGGTTTGCTCAGATGAACATTAGGCACACTGACAGCTAGTGCAGGATCACTGTTGCCTCAAGGTATTCTTAATGGGAGGGCGAGCGTTTGTTGGAGAGGATCAGCAAGATGTGAGAGCAGGTACAGAATACAGGGAAGGTGCACCACATTAGGACAAAACCTCACAGCAACACTGCAGACATTGGAAAGTGATTCTTCTGGCTCATTTATTAAAAATTAAATTAAATTTAAAAATTTAAAAATAAATGTAGATCAATATATATTTATAAAACATAATATGTATTTACCTATCTAAATATGGCTGAGAAATGAGCCAGAAAAATATTTTTATAGATAAGAATATTTATATTTTTACCTCTATATATTTATGTTTTGGGGAAGAAAAAAAAACCAACATTTTTTTAGGCCTGTTTTCCCAACCACCTTCTCTGCAAAACAGTGAGCATAACCCAGGTAATTAATGCCATAACTTTAATGAGTTATAAAATGGACGTAACTATGGATATAGATATGTCCCTGTATCCTGCCTCTACCAATGTCCGCGGTAGGAACACCCTCTTTCTCAAGGGACTGCCAAATAACGGTTAGAGACTACTCACCAGCTGTTCATAGCCTCCAAAGATAAACATGTTCTTTGCCAGGACGCAAGCTGAGTGCCCATCTCTTGCACCTGGGACCATTCCAGACACCTTTGGCGTGAACCACTTGTGCGTGTCTGAAACAAAACAGGAGTAAAAGCTAAGAAAATACAGCAGATGTAGGGATGGGATAGCTCTTTACTACTGTTCTTCATTTCCAAGACAGAAATCCTTCTCTCTTTCACACACAGCACCTGCTTCTTCAAAGAGACCGCATGCTTCTTCAAGCAAGACTGCCTGCCTGAGACTCTGCAGAGGGGCACAGTGACAGAGAGCTCAGCTCCTGGGCATGGCCGCTGACTGCCCAACCTGACAAACAGCTCACATCCTAAATGTGATTAGTACAGCACTGCTTGAGCCATGTTATTTTTATTGAATCTCTTGCAAAGCCTACTTGTGAGTCACTTAGCAACTCTGCGTTTACAGTTTCGGTTACAGTGATGATGCCAAGTGGCCCAACTGACCTCAGAGCGCGGAGATCCCTACTGACTGAGGAAGAACAGCTCTCTCAAAATCAGGCAGAAGTCACTTAACCACAAGCTCACAGTGTCAACAGAGCTACTGTGCACATCCCCACCTCTACAGCGCAGTTCTCCGTATCTTATCTGCTCCTCTTGTTACATTCTCATCCCCTCTTCAAGGGGAGCCTTTCTCACTCTTCACCCTTCGCACAGCTCCCTGTGACCCTGTACCAGCCAGATTCAGCCCCTTCGTCTGCAATGCTCCAGGGGTTGGCTTGATTTGGGAGAGGACTTTAAATCCAGTCAGAGCTGTTCTCCATGCCAGGGCAATATGGAGCCAAGCCAGCGACTCACTGCCAAGTACAAACAGGCACCTGTCCTAAAAGCCCAGAGAGGCACAGATAAGCCTTGAGGCAGCAGCAGACGTTCTCCCCACCCTCCCTAACTGCTCTGAGCTGCCAAGAGAAATGCTTATTTCAGAAAGTGGTAACGTTGGAGCCAAAGCAACATTCTTCGTGAGGATAACTTCTCTGAACTTGGCCAGCAGCCACAGTTAGCCACCTAGGCTCCAGCTGGAACCACACAGAGGGTCTTAGAAGGTCAACAGAAACTCTGGGCAGCCTCTAGTGATAAAGCTGCAGTGGCTATCAAGTTTGCTTCCTTCACAGGGCTGCTTCCAAGCCCAATCACACAGTAGCAGCAAGAGCTTATTTAGGCGCAACATGTCAAATTAGAGATGGAAAAGACCTCAACTTGCGATCTGCTTGCACCCCAGGAGACAAAATTGCACTCAGCCAGGACTTTGTCCAGCCTGATGTGACTTGTATAGTGGAGATTACACCACAGACATGGGACTGCAGCTGCCAGCTTCACTTTCCAGGGTTGGCAGGGGACAAGCACAGCATGTACAGACAGCTGCAGAGGGTTCGGACCAGGACTGGGATCTGGCCTTTCCATTAATTTTCACTTAATGCTGAAGTGCTAGAGTTGACAGAGAGATCAAGCAGATCTCAGTATAAGGCCTCTGCGTAGGCAGAGGTTTACTGATAGCTTCCCAGCTGCATGTGTCAGGGGAAGGGGGAAACCCTATGCCTAGAGAGCAGCTCCAAGCTGTGAGACATTTCTTGGTGAAAACCAGAACTGATGACCAAGCAGCAGAGCAAGCAGTTTCCTTGCAAGTCCAGTAAGCCAGTTACTGGTCAGTATTTAGATGGACTTGCCTCCATAATCCAGATGTAATCCTTCCTTTTCTGACACTCCTGTTCACCCATTTCCTGATGATGCTTGTTCTGCCCAGGTGCTCCAGCAGCACTAAGGAAAAGCTAACCAAAAAGCTCAAGAAGTTTATCTTTCAGATTTATCTAACTTGACTTATACCTTCCCTTTTGTGCCATCCTGTCTCTGACTATTTCTGTGTTTTATTCCTCACTGTGTCATGCTTTCAGAAAGAAGGACCACGCCAGACAAGAACCACAGTCTTCAAGAGCTCTAGCCCCTTCTCACTACAACCTTCAGCCACAGTTAAGGAATAATACATCATGCAGAGAGCGCGCTTCAGTTACAGTTCCTGTCAGAGAAAGCACACAAAGCTGATAAAAAAATTAAAACCAGTTTGACTATTAGATAAGCTCAGTGATCTCTGTTCCAAGGCTTTTACAGACCGTCAAGCATGCAGACACACTGGCCACCCTGCTCCCTTTCTAAACCTGCTGAAACAGTCAGTGACACCAATTCCCCATTTGCACCATTTCCTGCAGACTGTCACTTTGTAGAGACTGAAAGACAGGGAAACAAGTTGGGGAGCAGTGTGGTGGGGCAGAGAGACAGTCTCATCAAGAGCAGCTGTGACAAGGAAGAGTGACAAGCTGGAACTTACTGACATCGAAGGCATAGAGCACGTTGCAGGCTCCCTCAGTGTCATTGCGACCACCCCATATGTAGACGATGTCGTCTATGAGCACTGCTGAGTGCCCATACCTCATGTAGGGCACCTCTCTCACATGGTCTCGGCTGTTTGTCCACACTGGAGGCAGCTTGATCCAGCGCAGAGACACTGAAATCACAAGTTTGAGCCCACGTCAAATGTTAAACCCACTGCATGTACTCACAGGTCACAGCCCATCCTGAATGGCACCTTTCCTCCCCAAGACAAGGTGCAAAAGCAGTCTCAAAAGCAAGACAAAGCTGTGTCTAGCCCCGAGGAGTAGCTAGTTAAGCAATATGGAAGCACAGTTTTCCACAGGTCCCCATCACAGGCAAGACTGGAGGAAGCATCGGAGGACCGGAGGACTCTGGATAGAAATAGGCTCCATTCTGTACCAATTACACTGAGGAGATTTTGACTTTGACCAATCCTAAACTGTGAGTGAAGGTACAGAGTGTGCGTGCGCGCGCGCACACACACACACACACACGCACAAATAGGGAAAGGAAAACGAGAAAAGTGCAGAGGTAGTAATGAATGCAGACACTACTTCAGGCTAGAGACATTTTCGAAGATACTCAAAGCTGGAAGAATGGGCAGCACAGGAATAATTCACTGCAGCAACGTGCAAGGGAACATACCTGAGGGCATCATTTGGACTGGCAGTAGTGCAGTTTAAGCAAAGCAACACAGCAGCTTTGTAGGAACAGTTTGTTTGCATTTGTTTGTTTTTTTAAGGTTTAGAAGAGACAGCTGCCTGTCTCATTTACCCCCATCCACACCCAAGTTCTCCCTGCTAACTTTGTGTTACTAATAGGAGTTCCTTGATTACAGCTTCTCCCTCCTGGCTGCCTGTACGTCACATTCAGCAGCAGCCAGAGCAGTCAACAGGTATTACAGGGTTTAATGACAGTGCAAGGGTCACAGCATGTGTTACATGGCCATTACATATCAGCACCCACACACCCTCCCTCCACCACATGTACAGCCTCCAGTTTTGTTTTCAACGCAGAGATAACACAAAATACAGCAGAAATCAATCCTCAGTTCTCCTGGAATACTGTAACACAGGGAAAGGGTCAGGTGAGCCCAGAGGCAAGAAAAGGCACTGAGGAAGCACAGCAAATGCTAAAGTCAAGCTAGACAAGATGTTGCCTACCTAAAACAGCCTTTCTATTTGGAAGGTTGAAAGAGATTATTTAAAATCCTGTATCTTGGCTTTAGCACTGGAACCTGACAATGCTAACTGAGCAAGGGCTTGGGAAGCCAGTGCCACCTCCCACATGGTGGCTGCAGCATCAGGACCCTTTAATATTTGGGAGTGGTAAGTAGGGGAGTGCAATGCATGAACATTCCTTTTGGCATGATAATTATGCTTCAACTGTAAGAGCGGTGCTCTACTGGCACGTTTTACAAGCTACAACATTCAACTGTCTTGCGTGTGAGAACCCAGTCCCTCTGGATAGAGATGAATGTCTTTGTACACAAGATCCTGAGCTGCGCTCCTCTACACTGTGAGGAGGTCACCTTGGCAGCCCTGTGTAACCAATGCCTTTATCCACTACTGCACAAGTCAGCATTCTCCACGGTCAGATTTAGAGGAGTGAATTCACTGCATCCTACAGACAAAGCAGTTTTATATAGATGCAACCTGTATGCTAGGAGGATGCTCAGCATGTTGTTCAGTCTGCAAAACTGGCCATTGGTTGTCTGCCTCTGTTCAGCTGGACTCACCCAAGCATCTGTGCAGTTTTTCAACCACCTGTCTAATTATAGGGAAATACTTCATGGACCAGCTCAGTAACCACTTCAGCTCAAAGAGCTCTGAATCAGGAATATACAGCCTCTCCCAGCACAGTCATGGCTCCAACTCGGTCTCCTGGTAGGTACTGGCCACCCTACACAAATGGCTCCAGCTCTGGATGCTTTGCTCAGCCACACTGTGAATCTGCATGATAACTGCAAAATGGGAAGGTTTCCATCCTAGCCACAGGCCCCTACATCAGCTGTCCCCACAGGGACACAGTTCAGGAGTCTAAACCTGGAGACCTACCTGAGTGCACTGGCTCCCACTCTACCCCTTCCACTCTAGGGGCAGCTGAGCATGGTCATGCTGCAAACTGGATGGGGGACCTAAGCCAGCTACATGTGGTCTCTTTGCACTTAGCTGAGTTAGGGGTCCACAGGGAAGAAGGACAAAGCAAGCCACTGGCTATGTGGTTACTTCTAGCGAGTCCTTATCCTAGCAGTCTGCTGAACTACAGCTAAAAGCTGTAGCTGAAGCTAAAAATAAAGAACTGCACGGGGAAGAAGCTCCCTTCTACACTGATAACTTTTTTTAATTAATCAGACAGCATGTTACCGAGCGTAACACGTTAAGCAGCAGTGGGCTAATAACCAAGCCCAGCAAGCCACTCTTTTGTGCACCACAAGAACACATTTACCTGCATTAAAAACATGGACGTCAATCTGGCGCAGAGTCTCATAGTCTTCTCCAGAACAATATCCTCCAAAGGAGTAGACCTTGTGCCCGACGGCCACAGCCGCGTGGTTCACCCTCCGCGGCCCACCTTCCAAGTGCACTGCCCACCGTAGCATTCCTCCCTGCAGGCCAGACAGTCTTCAGGGCCCCCAGTGCCACAGCTGCATGCTTCCCCGGTCACCACGATGTCACCTGGCTCTGTAACAGAGACAAAGTGTTAAAATAACACAATCCATCACGCAGGTCTTCCTACCTTCCCTGAATGCCAATCATAGAGGTCACATTGCTGTATCCTCACTCATCTGCCTCCCAACTGGAAATGGTTTTACTCCACCTATCAGAAAGGAGACACAGGGCAGGTACCATAACATGAGCAAGGCTCAGAAGGACAAGCAGAGGTGCCTTCATACAAAAAAACCCCAAACAAACAGAAAAACGCACCAAAAAAACCCCACAAAACCCAGGGCGGCCATAGAGGCAGCCCAAGCCAAGCACTTTTGGCCAAGGCAGCAGAGTGCTGCGTGCCCGGCTGCGACCTGGTCTTGTACACATCATGTACACACCAGGACAATTTGTTTGCTTGAATGAAAACTCACAGTGAGAGCCAATTGCGAAGGGGAAAAGAACAGAGCCAGAGGGAAGAGAGCGTGCTCTTTGGGTCAGTCATGAAAAACAGCAGAGGAGAATATTTAGGAAAAAAACACTCAACAAAACCCCCTGAAGAGCCACTCCCACATAAAGCAACTGACTCCTCAATATGGGGGGTGGACTACCACAACACCAGCATTTGGACTCATTGCTTTGAGCATTAGGGTCCAGCTCAATTAAACATGAGAACAGAAACCTCCTAGTCTGGGGAGAAAGCTCTGTGCTAATGATCAGAATAAGGTCTTTTTCTCCCGTAGCAAATCCAGGCATAACTATGAAAGCATCATCTCTCAGTTAAGAAACTGATATGCTTCCCACTTCAAACAGATGGCTCAGAGCAGCTCTTAGAAAAGTCACCGCAGCTGATTTTTGCAGAGATTCTCCTTTGGATCTATGGATCTGGAGCGCAGGCCTGCCCGGGTGCTTCTGAAAAAGTGGGTCAGTTCGATTCTTTAACAGTTTCTCCCCAGCTGAAAAACAGCCATTAGAAGAGACATCGGTGTTTCAGACAGCCTAAAGGAAAACCTTTTTCTGGTGCCTGTGTCTTCCAAGAAGCTAGAAGCAGACAGCACTCTTCCACCCCACATCCGTTTTTAGCATTTGCAGAACGCAAAGAAATTTTGGATGCCTTAGAATGAGGACCAAAATTCCTACACATTTTCTCCATCCCTTTTCCTTTTGGAAAGTAGTGAGTTTTCCAAAGGAGAACTTTCCTCCGGTTTCAAGTTTCTGAAGGAGCTGGAGAGCAGCAAGAAGGGGCTGTGCCACACCACTCTGCTCTGCTCCACCTGGGAAGTGGAACCACTGCTCACACAGCCAGGCACCCATAGGGCCCATCAGCAGTAGGATCCCCACAGCATCTGGCCCACCTGCACACTTCCATTTTATCCCTACCTGGGGAAAAAAAAAAGTCAGAGATGCAGCCGAACAGGGAACTCCTGGCATGTAGCAGAGCTCAGGCTTCCAGCTCCAGCCATGCATATTGCAGCCAGTTCAAAAGCATCCAGAAACCAGTCACCTCATTCCAGAGCTCTTAAATCTCAGCAAAATCTGAGTAATAACTTTTAAAAGCTTTTTTTTTTTCCAAGTTGTTCCCAAAACAGAGACTTGCCAGCCAGAGCATGCTCTGCACCTGGAAGTTATAGCAACAGGACACATGCAAATCCCAAACAGAGAGCACCCTGCAGTCTTACTTGTAACAGATGACTACAGACCAAGGAGTTCCTCCTGTAAAGCTGCTGCTTTCTGCAACAACCACCATAACCTAAATTGCAGCCAGCAGCCTAGAAAGTCACATCAAGCTTCTGGGGCCCCAGAAGGGCCTAGGAGCAGTGCTACAGGCCATGCTTCACCATATGTCTGGGGCCACCACAAATTCAGATCTAGTAGGTTTTTGGTTTTTTTTTTTTTAAGTGCCTTTTTTTTTTTCTTCCCAGTAAGGCAACAGCTTTTGTACAAGTCCTCTGCAAAGCTACAGAATAGATGAGTTTCCATGGAGACCACCAAAGTCACCTTTCAGGCTATTTTGAAGGCTTCACATTTCTAAATCTGTTTCCTGCCTCAGTCATGAGTTATCACTGAAAAAATTAACCAATAGTTTCCTCAAAATCGCTTCTTGGTTAAGCTCCTGAAGGAGCTTAACTGGACTTTATCACCAGCATCAGTATTCTCAACACCCTTCAGATCCTGGAAAATTAAGTGAAAGAATCATACTTCCACGTTCTGCACTTGGCTCTTCCTGGGGTAGAGGAGCACAGCAGCCTGGCATGGCAGGTGCATCATACCAAGCCACTTGCCTTTTTTGCCAAAAGGCTGAGAAAACTCCTCTTCACCCTTGGGAGATCACTTGAGCCATGTGTTGAAGAGCACGCTGCTGCTGACCACACCACTGGGCATTTCACTCCTAAAGGAGCAAGCTACCCTGCTTGAACAGTTTCATAATTAAGATTAGTCACAGGAACACAGGAAACAAAGGCTGCGCATCCCAAAACATTAATCTGGACAACTGGAGGGGCAGCAGCTCAAGGCCCAGTTGATTACACAGTAGGAAACGCTGTTGATGTTGTAGCAACGATGCTGCAATGTTGTTTCCTACAATTACAATTACTGGGGAAGGCTTTTTCCAGAGGTAAGCCCTTGCCAGAGGGCAGGTGGTGGGGGTGATGGGGTTGAGGTTATGGGGTGAGGTTGGCTGAGCTTCACCTTGGCTCAGGATGAGCAAACACCAAGCTCGGCCAGCACAGCCTCTGGGTGCCACTTGTCAGACCCTGGGCACACAGAAACACTCATTCGCTTTATGAAAATAAAACAATCAGAAGTGTGAAGCGATCCTCACATGATCAGGTATCAAAAGGCAAAGGAAAACACAGGATTTAACAAGCTGCCAGGGTTTTTCCAAACCCAAGTGCTCTTCTTTACACTGTAATGAAAATATCCAGCCAGACTCCATCTTCGTCTTGTGCCACTGGCCACAACCCTACCCTGAAACCATCGCAACGTCTTCCTGCCTTTGCCAAGCACTTGCTCTCTCCTTCTCGGCCACACACAGATCCACCCACTCTCCTCCCTGCACAGCTCCATCACCCATGGGCCCCTCACTCCTCATGTTTTTTGTGTCCAGCCCCAGCCTCTCTTCTCTCCCACCATGTTTTGAAATAGTTTCATTAGAGTCATCTTCCATTCCAAAGTCAATTTTCCTCTTGCAGTTTGCCTCTCCGCACTCTCTGTGAATATGAGCTAAGCACATTTTTTGAGGAAAAGTTATTTTCTGTCCCAAAACTACGCACATTGTTAAGTTCCATTTTGAGTTTTGATTTCCAATGTTAATTTATATAATAATGAGGACATAATTACGCTACTTTGTAACCTCATTCCTATGAGGACTTCTTAATAGGAGGCATTAATATGATGGACATTAGGCAGCATGCCTTAGATTTCTTTAAAGATCACACGGGGCACAGCCAGGGAGAGAAGGAAACAGCAAACCCAATGTGCAACAATTTAACTATTTCCCCCAACTGTACAATATTAAGTTACACAAAATACATTCTGTGAGTTCTCATTCAGGACACCAGCAACAGGAATGCAGGCGATAAACCATAGAAATATTGATAAGAAGATGCAAACCAGGTGCTTTTACACCCTAACCACAAACTAGAGGAACAGAGAGTGGGTTGAGGGTCTCGGGAATCTCCTTTGACAGACTGAGCACATCCAGCTGCAATCGTGCCCCAAAGCCCCCGGGAACTACGATTGTATACTTACAGGGAGACTAAAATGTCCATCAAAACAAACACAAATTTCTTATATAGCAAGAGAAGATATTTTCTAGACAAAACCAAACCAAAGAAACTGTACTCCCACATATTCTGCTGGCTCGGCATACACTTGCTCCCCTGAGATCAGGGAGCTCCAGCTGCCTCTCTTATCCCAGTCTCAACTGGGAGAAACAACACACTGAGCACCCTGACCACACACCCCCCCACACACACGTGTGCTCAGTGTCTCCTTCACAGATGGGCACATGTGCTTCTGTTCAAGCCACCGCTTGCTTTCACTGACACACATGTCAGCTCCCCTCTTCACCTCTCCAAGAGCTAATAGGTCTTTTAATTTCATTTTGTACTCTCACACAAGCAGCAATCATGCACTCTTTGTAAGTCCAGAGCTCACTCTTGCAATCTTCACTCTATCCAGAGTTAGAGTCAGGCACAAAGAATGCAGAGAAATTTGGGTTGAAACCCTGGTAGGTCATGTCAAAATCAGGTTACATTTCACCTGCTATTGAAATACCTGATGCTGATGATGTTAGAAATTAAATGAGCACAGCAATGAGTTGTTCCTGTGCCACTAAGCACAGGAAGGCTAAAATTAAAAAGCGCTCAAAATAACCTGCTGTGGTCCCACAGAAATTCCTGAAGCCCTCCACGGACCTGCACAGCAGCACAAGCCCGGGTACACGCTTTCAGAGTAAGTGGTGCAACAACAGCCGTGGAGTGACCACAGACTGGCTCTGTCGCTGCAGTCAGGGGTGACATCTGAGCACAACTGGAAGCTCACAAGTCTGTTAGCGGAGGAATAGCTACGGACATCCTTCAGCACCTCCCTCGCTCTTCATCAGCACTGACATCCAGCAAAGGGAGCGCAGCGATTCACCTGCGGCATTTCGCTGCTAAGCAAGGGAACAACCAGGTTTTATACAGCACCTACAGACAACACTCCCAAATCTCTGGCTGTGCTGCTGTCTGAAGATGCACATAATACCTGACACAACCTTCATCCTAACTGCCCCACCTTACACCTAACAAGAGTCTGAGATCAACAGAAAAAAAATCCCTCAATTTCTCACTAGCATACCTTCCAAAACTGTTGAGGTGACTTGAGCAAAGTGGTATAGGTGAAGGGGAAAGGGAAAAAAAAAAACCAAACCAAAAAAAAAAGAGTAATCATGGTTTTTACAATCAGATTTTTCAGCTGTTTGTTCTATTTGTCTTACTTTTTCCATTTTCAATCCCTACAATTAACTACAAAAACATTTAATTTGAGACAGAAAGC